CGCCTGCCGTGGCTGACTCTGCCCGGCCCAATCCGCGCCCCGGCTGAGCCGCTTCCCCGCGCGGGCGGCGCCGCTCCGCTCCTTGGCCCGCGGGGCGCAGGCGGCAGCGGCGTCGGGGCGCGGGACGTCGCTCTCGACAAAAATCCACCGTGACGTTGTCCCCCGGGGTGCCGCCTCGCTGAGCAAGGGAAAGACGGAGGAACGGGACGCCAGGAAAGGGACAAGTGTCCTCTCCCGTGGGGGTGGCTGTCCCCGTCATCCGCCTGCCCTTTCTGTGCATTGGTCCCTTCCGTCCGGCGCAATTACTGCCAGCTGCTGGCCCGTCTTGGTACTGTCTCTTAAATCATCAGATGCTGGAGTCGTGGGAATTACGAGCAACTCAGCCTTCGTTTAAAAAGGAGCTCCGGTTTTAGCTTTAATAAGAAAGCATAAAAATCCAGAAGTCAAACAAACGTAGTCCAGTATGCACATGGGTGCACACACAGTCAAATATATGTACATATGTATATAAATACTTATATAAGCGCATATCAGTCATAAAGCAGGATACTTTGGACTTGCAAGACAGACTTAAAAAATCCCGTGATTTTTATACACATAAATGTTAGCTATGTTATGAAAGCAGTCATTTAGTGACTGTATATTGTAAATTGGCATTATATAAAAACAACCAAATCCTCACTTACTCGGGATTCTTAACTAAAAAAAAACAACTCATAAAACTGTGTCTTCTATTTCTTTCTAAACTGTATGGAAAAACATAGCACTTTGCAGAACAAACAGTATTTCATAATGGAGACCATAGTGACAGCAGCTGTTACATGCCAATTTGGCTTTGTAACAAACACATCTGCTTGTTTTACATTTTTTCAGTTCTCCTAAAATAGCTTTTTACAAAACCCTGGTCTTTAGCACTCCAAGAGAAAAATGCCTAGCCCTTCTCAAAATGCTCATGACCTTCAGTCATTTTACAAGCTGACTAAGTGAAATTCACATTCTGACCAAATCATTGTAAATATTTGTCACTTCATCTAGATAGAATTTTCACGTTCTGACTGTAACACTTACACAGATATATAAAATTCATTGTTTATAAGCTAATCACATGATTCTGATGACACCTGCCATGTGATTTTTAACATTCAAAAACAGGGGGAAGGCCTATGCAGACATAACACTGGACCTCTTCCTTGTCTTTTTGAGTTTCCTAATTAAATACTGGTAAGGTAAATATCATGAGTTTAACTGCTGTTTCATCACCCAAAAATATTGAATTAGCCTGATCCTGAATCTCCAAAAACCCATGCTTAAATACATTGTTCTTGGGTGACCACCAGCAAGTGCATCACTCAATAACCAAGCTAATTGATTTAAAAGTCCTGAAACACCACAACCGTGAATGAGTTTAGAGGGATGTTCTCACTCCTGGGTCCAGTGACTGAGAGTCAGGTTACACTGCATTCACCCACCCAGCATTCCCCTTTGGCCAAATTTCTTATAAGGTGACTTAAAGTTTAGGCATCTCTTTTTATAGAGCAAAGATGGTGGGGGCAG